CTTCCTAATCCTTATCACAATAGTATTTCTATAGAATATTCTTCGGTTGGGCTTCACAGGTTTCACTTCATAAACGGGCTTCAATGGCCCACAATACTTGGTTCGCCTTGCTCACCAAGATATCTCCAATACACACTTACAACTCTGAAGCACAAGTCTCTCTCTCTATTCTCTCTTCCTTCTCTTTAAGAGACCAAGAAATTTCTTCTCTTTTTCCCCTAAGTTTTACGATTTCCCATTGCTTAATCTGCCCAATTTTTATGTACTCCAGTCCTGAGTCTAGATTAGCCAAAATCGCGGCAAGCTTTGGCCTCTAAACTCTCTTAATTTATTGCTTGATTCCTACTTACCCTTTTTGCTTAAATCGCTTTCGTTGAAACTTTGCTTGCATGTGTTTTGTTTGAGCTTGTTCTTGAGTTATTTTCATTCTTAAACCTCTTTTGTTTAGAGAAATCCTTGAACTTGTCTCATTTCACCATTGTTTCACCTAAGAAATTGTTGCATGTGCTTAATCTCTTGAATTTGAGTTTGGCATATTGGTTAAAATGCTTTGAACTTCATTTAGATGGCTTATTGTTCTGAGTTCTCGCTGTTCTTGGTTCAATTTTGTTGTTTAGCATCCTATCTAGCCCTTGATGTTTGATTTTGATTTGGTTTCCTCTGTTCCGGGTTAGCTCGATCGAGCTGGTTTCACGACCCAAGTACTTCACACTTAACTCTATCGAGTTACTTGATAGAGTTAGCCGAATAAGTCATTGTAGCTCTAATTCCTTCACTCTTTGATGAATGTCAGGGGACCTAGTTGGAAAAGCAACATAATCAAGATGGTGAGAGGCAAGGAAGCTATGCAACTCAAGGGAAAAAGGTGAAAGCAAGGGAACTAAGGAGAATGAAGAAGAGGATAGATGATTCAAATGGAGATGAGTATGTTAGATCAACGGAAGGAATAGAGAGGGACCAAGAAGAAGATGAGTTTAGTATTGAGGAGGAGAATAGAGAATCTGAGGCTGAGGAAAGCGCCCAAGAAGATGAAGAGGTTGAGAGTGAAGAGGGTGAAGAAGAAGAAGAAGAGGTTGTGGAGAGTGAGCAAGAGGAAGAGATTGAGGAGGCTGATGGAGATGAACAAATGGAGGAAGTTGAGCAAGCACAAGAAGAGGAACATGATAGCCTCCCCAACTTCCAAGACCACTATGATGCTCTCTTTTCCATGGAGTTTGTGGAAAAAAATGTACCCACATGATGATACCATGAAGGCGCTTGGGATCTTTAAGGATGTGGAGTTAATCCTCAAGAACATGGCCTTGGCGAAGTTCCTTTCTTATAGCTGACTTGTGAGTTCCTTGCTTCATTGAGGTATCACATGTACACCAAGGCTGAAAGGAGAGAGTTGGACAGAGGTTTGGGTTGGATCCCCTTCCTAGCTGATGGAGTTGAGAGACAAGTCACATTTAGGCATCTGGAAGTCTTGTTTGGGTTCAACTATGGAAGTGGAGCTGCGTAGAGCTTTGACAAAGATGAGCTTCAAGGAATATAGACTACAATTGCTGATGGTGTGTACTCCTCCTCTAGATCCAAGGCTGCTCAAATCAGGAGCCCAGTCCTTAGATATGTGCACAAGGCGCTTGCAAACTCTTTCTTTGCAAGGAAGACCACATGCACAATCACTGAAGGAGAGCTTGATGATATGATTTGTGGGTGATGTGATGATATGAAATGATATGAGGTGGAATGCAACAGTGGTAATGAAGATGAGATGGTATGGTGCAAACACAATCACAATCAATCAATTCCCTTAACCATCATAGTCATGTAGTATAAGGGTTATCAATCCAAAAGGGTGAAATGTTGCTCTTGAGAATATGCAAACACAAGAAAGTCAAGCAAGCAGTAATAGATGAAGTAACACTAACAACCTAATGAAATGAAATGCAATGCATAAAGTAAAAAAAGTAAAGCAAGCAGCTCGACCAAGGACTCGAGTCGAGTGGAACAGAGTAACCAAGCTCGATCGAGTTGAGGGTCGAGTTGCGTAAAAAGCGATAAAGGCAGGAACTTTAACAAGCTAATGAGAATATTAGGGTCTAAGACAGGGTCTTACAATAGGGGAAGCTATACTTAATCAATCTTGCTCTTAAACACTTGTATCAAGGTATCTCTTGATATTGAGCTTCTCAATGCCTAGCTAACCCTTTCCCAAGGTGAAAGCTATCAACCAAGGAATGATCTCAGAAACAGGGGGTTAGCCAGTGAGAATCAAGCCTTGGAGGCATAGGATCATTGCTCAAACTAATCCATCCAACCCCTATGAACTCCATTTCGAGAGCAAGGTATTGGAGCTCTTAGTGGACCTTTTCCAAGCGATTTCCATCACTTCCATGTGGAAATCGCCTATGACATACAAGCCAGGGGTAGTGGTCATGTAGCCTTAAGGTTTGTCCAAAAGAGAGAGATTTCTAGATTAAGAACATAAGCAAGAAGGATTAAGCATAAGATCCTCTAATCTAGCCCATCTCAAACCCTAATGGGTAACTACTCACTACACATGAATGTAAACACAAGCAAATGCAATGAAAAGACATTAAGAAAGAGGAGATGAAATAAACAACTTTTATTGAAATAAGCAAGTGCAAATACAAAGAAGATAATCCAGATCTAAGGATTCAAGAGCAAGAGCTCAAGAACACAAAGAGAGGATTAGAGTTGCAAAAAGTAAAAACAAAATTAAAGAAAGCTAAAACAAAAATAAGCTAAAGCTTGTTGTTTTTTCGTGGCTTAGAGCCTTTAAATACAAGAGGATTAGGTTTAGGGTCAAAGGAAGTCAAGGGGGAAGCAACATTTTTCGGGTTTGACTGTTGACTTCTCAGCTCGATCGAGTTGAGGAACTCGACCGGTTGGTCGAGTAGGTGGTCGAGCTGGTCTTCAAGATGGCTTCCTCCTTCTTCCTTTGCGTGTCCAGTTGAGCTGCGTCCATGCACCAAGTCCTTCCTTGCTCCTCACGTCCCATATGCTCCAAATGCTCCAAAAGACCTATTTCAAAGGACCAAACATGCATATGTATGCAAATGCAACCTAAAACTACTATGAATGCATAAGAAGAGAAAAGGAACAAGATATGATGCTAATGGATGCTAAAACTATGCAAAAGATGCATAAAAGATGTACTAAAACTATGTAAAATGCAAGTACATCAACACCCCCAAACTTGACCTTTGCTTGCCCTCAAGCAAACAAATAGAACAAGAAAGAGATGAGGTTTGAAAACAAGTTGATTCAACACTTAAAAACATGTCCTCAAAAGCGATTTGCTAAATGTCCAACTTAGAGATTCTAGAATGCAACAAGGTGAGAGATATTCATTAAGATTTAACCATGCTTATCAACATCAATCCCACTTCACAGTCACTCAAACAATGCATTCAAATCAGCAAATCCCTTTAACATTCATTAAGCAAAAACAGTGAACCAAAAACATGCAAGATCAATCAACTCATTTGGTTTCAAGGGTTTATGGGTTAAGAGACAAAGAGGGTCTCTTTTGTATGGTGGTTTAGTAACAGGGATCTCTCAAGAAAGTGGCTTTGCTTTGGCAGAAGGCTAAGTGTTAGAACCAAAGATGATGCAAGAACAGCAGCTCGAGCCCCTAATCCTAACTCGATCGAGTTCAACACTTAGAGCTTTTTAGAACAAAATCCTAACTACCCTTTTTGGCATTTCGCCTTTGAAACTGAGGAGCTTTGCTCACTTTTCTTTTAAGAACTTCCTAGGGAGAGGCTTCTTGAGGTAACATCTAGCGGTTTGGGATTTTCTAAACACTTAGGGAACTTTTCTTTTTTTTGACACTTGAGGCTTTGCCTTCTTTTCTTCTACTTAGAACCCTTTTTACTTTCTTTTTTAACTTCCCAAACCTTTACTAGACCCTTTTTTGCCAACTCCCTGGACTTAACTAAACTCTTTTTCCTTTGGTTTTCCCAACTTTTACCACTTTTCTGGTTTTGACACCCAACTCGATCGAGCTCGAGTTGGCACCCCCAAACTTAGCCTGAAAACAATCCCAAGAGAACTAGACAACTAGAACTACTGCCCCTGCCGGTTTAAACACAACACCTTATGCTAAGCAAAGCCAAGAAAGGTTCTCACAATTCGCACAAGAGATAATATGGGGTTTGAAATGAAAAGGCTTAGGTTTAAGGTGTGGTAACTGTCTCAAAGATGGAGATCAGCTATCTGGACAAGCAAGAGGGATATGAAAATAGGTAAAGAATGTCCAGATATGTATGTGGTAGCCATGAGTTGAAATCAAATGCAAGCATTGGTAATTAAAGATCAAGTTATGGTTCAAATAGATAGGGAAATGCATCAAATCACAGCAATGGTTGAATGAGATGTGCATGCAGTGATATGATCAAGATAAACATGGTTCTTGTGCTCAATCAATCTCACCCTAATGCACAAAAGAATCTAAAAACAGGGCACTCAAGAAATCGCAAATGATGAACAAGTTTTCAAAGTCAAATCAACAATGCAAGTGAAAAATGCAATCCTAAACAAGTCTAACAAATATGAATGCAAAAAGATGAAAATATTTTTGGATTTTTTGAAAATTTTATGATTTTTTTGGTTTTTCTATGCAAAAGATGAAAAAACTAAGTGATATACCTATAATTTACATGCTTTTTATACTGTTTTAGTATTGTTTTCTAATGGTTTTTGGCAGGTTTTCTATCTAAAAAGGTAGTTTTACTGTGTTTATAGTGTCTAGAGTCTAAACAGGTGAAATGATGCATTTTGGAGCAAAACCATAGGATTTGCACTTCAAGCCGCTCCATGCCCAAGCATCAATTTTAAGAGGGCCCAGAAAAATATCTACTCAATGGATTTCATCAAGACCAGTTCCCTGCGTGCTCTTAGTGAGTTCACTTTCCAACGCAACTGGAACAGCCTCATTTGGATGAGTAGAAAAGGAGTTATAACCAAAAGAGTGAATACTGTCCAAAGCGGCTCTATCGAGGAACCGCGGCCAAGCCGTGCAAAGCGGCCGGCCGAGGAATGAATGTTACGCGGTCGGCCAAAATCAAATCCGTCCGTCTAAAGCTTCGGCCAAAGTTCAAATCATCCGGCCGAGTACTCATCACGACCCGGGAAGCAATGTCCCGCGGTCGGCCACGCCACTCCCACTCAAGACGATGCCGCGCACGACCATGTCGCACGATCCGGGAAGCAACGCCATGCGGCCGCGCGTCCTTACTCGCGTACCACGGCCGATGGTGCCGTCCGATCCGAAAAGCTACGCACCGTACTCGACCGAGAAACATCGGCCAACCCTTCACTCGTCCGACCACAGCGGCCGACCACGAATTTGTCCGGCCACGACCGTTCCGTCTAGGAGATAAGATTTCTTCTTGCTTCTCCTCTTCAGACTCAATTTCTCCATTGTCCAGGAGAACCATAGCTCTTCTATTGATGCACTCCTTAGCATAATGACCTCTTCCTAGACACTTATAACACTTAACATCATGAGCGTTTGATGCAGATCCCTCTGTTTTCCCTTTCTCTTTGTCTTGAATTGCAGGAAATGGCTTAGAATCAGGCTTTGAAACAACAACTTGCTTCCCTTCTCTTTGATAGCTTGTTCTGCTTGATTCTGCTCCATCACTAGCTCGTGTAAATCCCTTTCTCTTGACCTGCTGCTCAACCAGAATAGCTTTATGCAGCATATCTTCAAGTTCTTCATAGTGTTGCATCTCTACTCTGTCTTGGATAGCTTTGTTCAAACTTCCAAGAAACCGAGACATAATAGCTTCTTTTTCTTACTGAAATATGTGCTCTCAGCAGAAGAGTCTCCAACTCTTGATAGTAGTCTTCCACTGATCTATTTCCTTGAGTAAGCTTTCTAAGCTTTGAATAGAGCTCTCTCTCTGATAATGATGAAGAACAAATTCTCATCGGGAGCTTCATCTCTGCCCATGTTGACACTGGAAACTATCCATTTTGCCTTCTAGAAGTGACTATTTGATCCCACCAGCTAAGTGCATAGTCGTAGAACTCAGTAGCAGCCACCTTGACTCTGTTGACATCAACATAATGCTGGCAATTAAAGACCAGTTCAATCTTCTTCTCCCAATCCAGGTAAGCATCAGGATCATTCCTTCCATGAAATGGGGGTATCTTGATCTTAAGACCTCCAAGGTTGTCTTGTAACAGATCCTTGTATTCTCCGGAACGCCTTGATCTTCCTTGACTCCTTTGAGAAGAGTTACTGTGATTGCTATAGTAATCTTCTGCTCCAAAATCTCCAGGCTCCTTCCTGCGTCTTTTGCTCTTAGTATTATCTCTTTCTGGTGCATGAGCTTCTCCATTTGGCGTCTGGTTCTGGTTTGTAAGCTCATTACGCAACGCCTCAAGCTTAGTGTTCATCATTTTCTCCATCTGTGCAGTGATTGCATCAATGAGAACTTTGTTGTTTGCGCTGTTGCTGGATTCTTCTTCATTTTCGCTTTCAGACACCATCCTGAAACTCAAAGCAACAACAGCACCAGTAAAAAGTCCAACAGAAACAAATCTATGCTTTCAAAACAGTATACTTGATCAGATTTCGTTTCTGCAGTTCTAGATCTAATATGGGCAGATTGGAAGATGAACAGTTACTTTCGAATGAACAATAAATCAACAGATCTATGACCAGATTCAAACCTAACAGTTCTAGATGATAAATAGTGAACAGATCTGATGATGAGATGAAATCAAGGGTGATAATGGTAAAAACGAAATGATAGATGTAGTGACAGAGAACTCAACTTTCAGAGTGTGCTCTAATACCACTTGATGAGATCTTCCCTAAGATCGGCACTCTAAAGGTTCACTGGAAATGAACCACAAGTTGGTTGAAATAAACTCCAAACTTGAGTCATTGACTTCAAGAGTCCAAATCATTGAGTCTTCTAGTGCATCATCCTCTTCACCACAAGAGTATGCCCAAGCAGTTACACTGAGAAGTGGGCGACAATTTCCTAGCAGGAGTAGCCCACCCCAAATCGCTGTGGACATCGATGACGAGGAAGGGGAGGATTTGTCGAGTATGCTGACATCCCACCAACTCGATCGAGCTGGAACAAAACCTGAACCAGAGCTCGATCGAGCTGAAGAAACCGAGACTCAGCAAGACAAACCAGAGCTCGATCGAGCCGAGAAGAGAACAGACAAAGCAAGCTCCAGCCAACCAACTAAACCTGTTGCAAAGAAGAAAGACACTCCATCAGGACCACCACCATACAAACCCCCTCTACCCTTTCCAGGAAGGTTCAAGAAACAACTGTTGGAAGCACACAGGCCAAGTTTGATGAACTAATGAGAACTTGAGCTGAAGTTGCCTTTCATCGATGCCTTGATGCTCATTCCACCTTATCAGAAATTCCTGAAGGATGCTGTTCAGCAAAGAACCAGGGAAGCACAAGGGATGGTAGTGTTGACTCGTGAGTGCAGTGCAATCATTCAGCGGAAGGTCATCTCCGACAAAAAGGAAGATCCGGGGAGTTTCACTTTGCCTGCATGTTGGGACCCCTATCTTTCAAAAACAGCCTCTGCGATCTAGGATCATCTGTCAGCCTCATGCCTTTGTCTGTAGCAAAGAGACTGGGATATCACAAGTATCAAGCCTGCGGAATCTCACTAGTCTTGGCAGATAGATCGATAAGGTTACCAACTGGAATGCTTGAAGACCTGCCTTTGAGAATAGGGAATGTAGAGAATCCCCACCGACTTCATTGTGCTTGAGATGGATGAGGAACCAACAGATCCATTGATACTAGGAAGGCCATTCCTAGCTACAGCAAGAGCAATGATAGATGTCTGTGAAGGAACAATTGAGCTAAACTTGGGAAAGGACCTAAGATGAAGTTTGACATCAAGGATACAATGAGGAAACCAACAATAGAAGGTCAACTCTTTTATGTTGAGGAAATGGATCAGTTGGCAGATGAGCTTTTAGAAGAGCTATCATTGGAGGATCCCTACAAGTTGCTTTGACCAAGGATTCTTCAGAGGGATATGTGAGCTCAGAAACCGAGGAATAGAAGCTCCTTGACACCTTCAGACCAGTTCCAAACATTCTGAGCATTGAGGGGTTGGACAGGCCAGTTTGCGAAGTCATGGCAGTGAGCTCGATCAAGAACTCGATCGAGTCGGCCTCGAACAAACGAACTCGATCGAGCTGGGGACTGAATGCAAGGAACAAGCTCAAGGAGATTGGTCTGAGCTCAAGGCGCCTAAAGTCGACCTCAAACCTTTGCCTGAGGGCCTCAGGTATGCATTTCTGGGTGAAAACTCAACTTACCCTGTCATTGTGAACTCTGATTTGGAACCTGAACAGTTGAGTGCTTTGCTTGTTGAATTGAGGAAGTACAGAAAAGCAATAGGTTACACTCTAGATGATATCAAGGGATCTCCCCTGACCTATGCATCCATAGGATTCATCTAGAGGATGAAAGTAAGTCAAGCATTGAACCTCAAAGGAGATTGAACCCCAATCTAAAGGAAGTAGTGAAGAAAGAGATACTCAAGTTGCTTGATGCTGGGATAATCTATCCCATCAGTGATAGCACTTGGATATCTCCAGTTCATTGCGTCCCAAAGAAAGGGGGGATCACTGTCATAAAAATGACAAAGAGGAGCTGATTCCCACTAGAACAATAGTGGGGCATCGCATGTGTATTGACTATAGGAAGTTAAATTCAGCATCTAGAAAGGATCATTTCCCTCTCCCTTTCATTGATCAGATGTTAGAAAGATTAGCAAACCACCTTTTTATTGTTTTCTTGATGGTTACAGTGGTTTCTTCCAAATCCCGATCCACCCTAATGATCAGGAGAAACCACTTTCACATGCCCTTATGGTACCTTTGCTTATCGAAGGATGCCATTTGGGCTGTGCAATGCCCCAGCTACTTTCCAGAGATGCATGACCTCCATTTTTTCAGATCTGATAGAGGAGATGGTAGAAGTCTTCATGGACGATTTCTCAGTCTATGGAGCATCCTTCTCCTCATGTTTGTCTAACTTGTGCAGGGTGTTGCAGAGGTGTGAGGAGACAAATCTAGTACTCAACTGGGAGAAGTGCCACTTCATGGTTCGAGAAGGGATTGTGCTTGGACACAAGATTTCCGAGAAAGGGATCGAGCTCGATCGAGCTAAGGTGGATGTCATGTTGCAGCTTCCTGTTCCCAAGACTGTGAAGGACATCAGGAGTTTTCTGGGTCATGCAGGGTTCTACAGAAGATTCATCAAGGATTTCTCAAAGATAGCAAGACCCTTGACAAGGCTTCTATGCAAGGAGACAGATTTTGAGTTTGATGAAGAATGCCACAAGTCTTGGACCTTGCTGAAGGATGCTCTGGTATCTGCCCCAATAGTTCAAGCTCCAAACTGGGATCACCCATTTGAGATTATGTGTGATGCATCTGACTATGCAGTAGGAGCAGTGCTTGGCCAAAAGATAGACAAGAAACTCAATGTCATCTACTATGCAAGCAAGACTATGGATGATGCTCAATGCAAGTATGCAACCACAGAGAAGGAGCTCCTTGCCATAGTCTTTGCCTTTGAGAAGTTTCGAAGCTATATAGTTGGGTCCAAGGTGATTGTGCACACTGACCATGCTGCCCTTAGGCACATCTTTGCTAAGAAAGATACAAAGCCAAGACTTCTCAGATGGATCCTTTTGCTTCAAGAGTTTGACATAGAAGTTGTGGACAAAAAGGGAGTGAAAATGGAGTTGCTGATCATCTCTCTAGGATGCGAGTTGAAGACATAGTCCCCATCAATGATTCTATGCCTGAAGAACAGCTTATGGCAATCATGATCTTGAAGGAGAGTTTTGATGAGAAAGGTCAGGCTGGAAGAAGTTAAGGCTCTGCGTGATGAGAATTTGCCATGGTATGCTGATATAGTGAACTTCATGGTGTCTGGAGAAGTCCCTAGTAGTTTTGATGCTTACAAGAGGAAGAAGTTCTTCAAGGATGCTAGGCACTACTATTGGGATGAGCCTTACTTGTACAAGAGAGGACCAGATAGCATTTACAGGAGATGCATAGCTGAAGAAGATGTACAAGGAGTTCTAGAGCATTGCCATGGGTCTGCTTATGGAGGTCACTTTGCCACATTCAAAACCGCAACTAAGGTTTTGCAATCTGGTTTATGGTGGCCTACTTTGTTCAAGGATGCAGCAAGCTTACATTGCCAAGTGTGATCCATGCCAAAGGAAAGGAGGAATCACCAAGAGAGATGAAATGCCACTAAACCCAATTCTAGAGTTGAGATCTTTGATGTATGGGGAATAGACTTCATGGGACCTTTCAAACCTCCTCAAACGGGCACAACTACATTTTGGTTGTGGACTATGTGTCCAAATGGATTGAAGCCATTCCCCTGCCCAGCCTGTGATGCCAAGGTTGTTATCAAACTGTTCAGAACCATCATCTTTCCAAGATATGGCATCCCAAGGGTTGTTATTTCGGATGGAGGTTCCCATTTCATCAACAAGGTGTTTGAGAAGTTGATGAGAGTTATGGAGTCAAGCACAAGGTCGCTACACCCTATCACCCTCAAACCAGTGGGCAAGTTGAAGTCTCCAATAGACAGATAAGGCCATATTGGAGAAGACTGTGAGCTTCACTAGGAAAGGATTGGTCACAAGGCTTGATGAAGCACTTTGGGCTTATAGACAGCTTACAAAACCCCCATTGGAAGGTCTCCTTTCAACTTGCTATATGGAAAGGATTGCCACTTGCCTGTGGAGGTCGAGTATAAGGCTTTATGGGCAGTAAAGATGCTGAACTTTGACATAAAGGCAGCACAAGAAAGGAGGTAATGAACTTGTTTGAGTTGGAGGAAATCAGAATGAATGCCTATGAGAACTCCATGATTTACAAGATGAGAACCAAGGCAGCCCACGACAAACTGATTCGCCTTAAAGACTTCAAGGTTGGGGACAGTGTGCTCTTGTTTAACTCCAAGTTGAGGTTGTTTCCCGGGAAGTTGAGGTCAAAGTGGTCGGGGCCATTCAAGATCATGAAGTTCTACCATACGGATCACTCACTCTACTCAACCAAGAGGGGAAGGAATTCACAGTGAATGGCATAGATGCAAGCCTACCTAGGAATGACCCCCACAGAGGAGATCATCACTCCTCTTCAAGATCCAACCCCTGCCTAAAAGGTTTAAGGTCAAGCTATGAGACCTAAAACAAGCTCACTTGGGAGGAATTCCCATGTCTATCTTGTATATATCGCTTTTATCTTTTGTCTCTATGTTTTTCTTAGCTAAGTCTTGCAGGAACAGGTTTTTAGGAAGAAGGAGCCAACAACTCGAGGCACAACTCGATCGAGCCACGAGCAAGCTCCATGATATACCTCTAATTTACCCACTTTTTATACTGTTTTAGCATTGTTTTCTAATGGTTTTTGGCAGGTTTTCTATCTAAAAAGGTAGTTTTACTGTGTTTATAGTGTCTAGAGTCTAAACAGGTGAAATGATGCATTTTGGAGCAAAACCATAGGATTTGCACTTCAAGCAGCTCCATGCACAAGCACCAACTTTAAGAGGGCCCAGAAAAAGATCTACTCAATGGATTTCATCAAGACCAGTTCCCTGCGTGCTCTGATTGAGTTAACTTTCCAACGCAACTGGAACGGCCTAATTTGGATGAGTAGAAAAGGAGTTATACCAAAAGAGTGGAGACTGTCCAGACGGCTCTATCGAGAAACAGCGCCCAACCGCGCAGTCCGGCTGGCCGAGGAACGCATGTTCCGCGCTCGGCCAAAACTGTCCGTCCGTCTGAAGTCTCGGCCAAAGTCCAAACCACTCGGCCGATCACGCATCACGACCCGGGAAACTCAAGCCCGCGGTCGGCCACGCCACAACGCCACGCCACACCGCGCACGACCAAAGCGCGCGAGCCGGGAAAACGCCTCGCGGCCGCGCAACTCGCTCGCGTACCGCGCACGAACGCTCCGTCCGAGCCGGGGAACTCCCGCGTCCGGCCGAGAGATTTCATCGGCCAAATCTATCCGCTCGACCACGCCGGCCGACCGTGAATCCGTCCGGCCCGACCGTTCCGACTCCCACGACCCGACTGTCCGGCCGATCGTCCCGACGACCGTCCCAACGCCGCGGTCGACCCGAAGCCCTTTTTGAAGCCCAAACTTTCATATTTTCAAGCCCGGCTTAACCCTAAGCCGCCTCTAGAAAGACCTAGCACTATATATATGGATTTTTAGCCTCTTGTGAAAGAGAGCCGCCCTTGTATTTCGATTTCCTACTCTAAGTTTTATTGCAATCATGTTTTCTTCATCTCTATGTGTGTTTGCTTTGATCATGTCTGAGTAATCCACTAGTTAGGTTGCTAGGGTTACTATTCAATGAGTTGCTTGCATGATCTTTGATTTCAATGATTAGCTAGGGATTATATTAGAGTCTTTGTCTCGTCTTGTGCACTTAACTAATGCTGATTGCTTTACCGCGCATCTAGTAATCCGATCTTAGGTTGATTTGAGCCTCGACAGTGCTGTATCATTCGCCGGACATATTCTTTGACAAGCTAGGTTTCTTAGACTGCGAAAGTTGATCTATCTATATCTAGTGAACTGTATCAGAACCTATTCATTCTAATGCTTGATCTAATCACCTAGGGACATACCAAAAGTTTAGCGACTAGGTAGATTAGCAAAGGAGCCGGAGCCTCGAAAGTGGAATGGTTTTATATTCGTGATCTGTGTTCTAGATGGTTCTTAATATCCCAATATCCCTAATCAATTAATCTATCATTGTTTCATTGATCATTGCTTGCTTCTCTGCGATAGCCCCTATGACCTAGCGCTTTTCCTTTATTGATTTACAACCTCGTTATACTTGCTAGTTCGGTTCACCATTACAACCTCAATCATACTTTTGTTTTAGCTTGATCCAAAATCCATAGTTTCAAAGTGTACTCAATAGCCAGTCCTTGTGTTCGATACCCATACTTCCGCGATCTGTGCACTTGCAGAGGTCTAGGAGTTTGGTAAAACCTGACTCCGCATCAAGTTTTTGGCGCCGTTGCCGGGGACTGCAGCAGTACCTTTGGAACTCGACTAGGATCTAGTCTAGAACCTTTTCCTGTTTTGCTTTTCTTTTGCTTTTGAATTTTTAGTTTTTGATTTCCTTTTCTTTGATTTTTACTTTTGTTTTTGTTTTTCCTTTTGATTTAACTTGTTTCCAAGACTCTTTTCAGGTGCATGACTAGGAGGTCCAACAAGGACAACCTAGTTGAACATCCAGAGATAGACAAGCTTGAGAAGCAACTTAGGAAGCAGAAAGCCCAAGAGATGGCCGACGAAGCAGCTCGCGCTCACGCCGCTGAAGTGGCGCGCGCTCAAGAAGAAGGAAGAGATCCACCTCCTCCTCCTCCTAATCCACAAGACCCTGCTGGAGATGTGAATGCACAACCCAAGCTGGAGCACCTACAATCGGAGACTATGACTCTGCCGATGCTTTCTTCATGGATAGAAACCCTATCCATCCACCACTTCCTGCAAGGAATGACTATGAGATCAAGCCTCAGATCATAGCATTGGTTAGACAGAACCAATTCAATGGACTTCCAGCTGAGCACCCTCTTGATCACATAGAAAACTTTGAAGAAATTTGCAGCACTACAAGATCCAATGGAGTCTCTGCTGACTACCTTAAGTGCAAGCTCTTTTCATTCTCTCTTGGCGACAAAGCTTCAAGATGGTTGAAGTCTCTGCCAGCTCACTCCATCACCACTTGGGATGAGTACAAGGCTGCATTCATCAACCACTTCTACACCAAACAGAGATCAATTTCTGTGAGGAACAAGATCTCCAACTTTCGCCAAGCCAACAATGAATCTTTCTATGAGGCGCTAGATCGATTCAAGGAGTACATTAGGGACTGCCCTAATCATGGTTTCAATGAGGGAAACCTATGGAACATCTTCTATCGTGGCATAGACCACAAGTACAAGCTTTCATTGGACACTGCAAGCAATGGAAACTTCATGACCAAGACTGTTGATGAAGCTAAGGTTCTTATTGAGAATCTTGCAGCTAGTGATTGTAACAACTGTCCTGATTATGACCGCTCAAGCCGCACCACTACTAGCTCCCCTGATTCTTTTCAAATGACTGAACTCAAGAACATGATGGCTCAAGTTCTTAAGGGACAGCTCAAGCATATCAATGCAATAGAAGGGATGAGTGATGCTAATGAAGACATCAAGAGAATGCATGGGAGATTTCTCTAATGAAGCCAATGAAGAAGATGTGAACTACATTGGAAACTATGGGAACAAGGGATACAATCCAAGCTATCGCCCAAACCCCAACATGTCTTATAGAAACCCCAATGTGGAGAATCCTCAAGACCAAGTGTATCCTCCAAGGTATCCACAACAACAAAGACCTCCTTACCAATCTCAAGGAAGTCAATTTCAGCCAAGGCAAGGATATGAGCAGAGATCATCATATCCACCCAAACAAGCAAGGAGTAAGACTAAGGCCCCTACACCAAAACCGCCCAAGGGATCAACCAAGATTGAAGTTGAGGCCAAGCCAAGAAGGAAGGTTAGAAAACCTAGGTATGGCCGCAACATGAAGCTTCTATTCCCAAAGGAGCTTATTGATGAGAATCTAGAAGGATTCAAGGAGAGAGTGACAAGAACTCTAAAGCTTTTTCCTAAGGCAGTAGTGCCAAGGGACATTCATGGAGAGATTGTCTATCCAGCTGTGAATCACCCACCAGATACTCATTGCAAGGAGAAAAGACTTGGAGGATCAAAGATGCCTCTTGTCTCCATCTTCTCCTAAGTGCCAAGCCTTACAGTCAATCACTCCAGCTCTGTCACTCCAGAAAACACCTAAAACTGACACAAATGTACAAGATGCAACAGTGCTAGTCCTAAATGCACTAAATGCGAAATATGAGTGATGGTGAGTGAAAAGCAATGAAAATGAATGATTATGAATGCGAAAACATATGCAATCGAGTGTTAAAATCATGCAAAGTATGAACACATCATGTACCCTCTGAGTTCTCTGACTTCTCTTTCTACCTGTGGTGAAATCTAGTTCGACCAAGTCTTCTGTTGTTCGACTCGATCGAGTTCGTATACACCTACAAAAAAAATCCAAAACCCAGCAATACAAAGAACATGGGTGGGATAGCTTGATCGTTCAAGTGTATTGGAAACTCAAATGCAACAATATTCAATCCCCGGCAACGGCGCCAAATTGATGATAGGATTTTATGGTGTGTTGTGAAAGATATGGTATGTAATGTAAATGAGGTGGAATGCAACAGTGGTATATGAAGATGAGGTGGTATGGTGCAAAACACAATCACAATCAATCAATTCCCCTTAACCATCATAGTCATTGAAGTATAAGGGGTATCAATCCATAAGGGTGAAATTATTACTCTATGAGGATATGCAATCACAAGAAAGTCAAGCCAAATGATTTAAAAGAGGGATGTAACAACTAAACAACCTAATGAAATGAAATGCAATGCAATAAAGTAAAGGAAAGCAGTAAAGCAAGCAGCTCGACCATGACTCGATCGAGTGGGAACAGAGTAACTAAGCTCGGTCGAGTTAGGGTCGAGTTAGAGTAAAGAGCGATAAAGACAGGAACTTTAACAAGCTAATGTGAATAGTAGGGTTAAGACAGGGTCTTACAATCAGGGGAAGGCTATACTTAATCAGTCTTGCTCTTTAAACAACTTGTATCAAGGTATCTCTTGATATTGAGCTTCTCAATGCCTAGCTAGCCCTTTCCCAAGGTGAAAGCTATCAACCAAGGCATGATCTCAGAAACAGGGGGTTAGCCAGTGAAAGTCAAGCCTTGGAGGCCATAGGATCATTGCTCAAACTAATCCATCCAACACCTATGAACTCCATTTCGAGAGCAAGGTTTATTGGAGCTCTTAGTGGACCTTTTCAAGCCCATCACTTCCATGTGGAGAATTGATGTTGAGTCAGGTTTTACCAAACTCCTAGACCTCTGCAAGTGCACAGATCGCGGAAGTATGGGTATCGAACACAAGGACTGGCTATTGAGTACACTTTGAAACTATATGGATTTTGGATCAAGCTAAAACAAAAGTATGATTTGAGGTTGTAATGGTGAACCGAACTAGCAAGTATAAACGAGGTTGTAAATCAATAAGGAAAAGCGCTAGGTCATAGGGGCTATCGCAGAGAAGCAAGCAATGATCAATGAAACAATGATAGATGAATTGATTAGGGATGTTGGGATATTAAGAACCGTCTAGAACACAGATCACGAATATAAAACCATTCCACTTTCGAGGCTCCGGCTCCTTTGTTAATCTACCTAGTCGCTAAACTTTTGGTATGTCCCTAGGTGATTAAATCAAGCTTTAGAATGAATAGGTTCTGATACAGTTCACTAGATTATAGTAGATCAACTTTCGCAGTCTAAGAAACCTAGCTTGTCAAAGAATATGTCCGGCGAATGATACAACACTGTCGAGGCTCAAATCAACCTAAGATCGGATTACTAGATGCGCGGTAAAGCAATCAGCATTAGTTAAGTGCACAAGACGAGACAAAGACTCTATATAATCCCTAGCTAATCATCGAAATCAAAGATCATGCAAGCAACTCATTGATAGTAACCCTAGCAACCTAACTAGTGGATTACTCAGACATGATCAAAGCAAACACACATAGAGATGAAGAAAACATGATTGCAATAAAACTTAGAGTAGGAAATCGAAATACAAGGGCGGCTCTCTTTCACAAGAGGCTAAAAAGCTATATATATAGTGCTAGGTCTTTAGAGGCGGCTTAGGGTTAAGCCGGGCTTGAAAATACGTGAAACGGGCTTCGGGTCGACCGCGGCGTTCGGGACGGTCGGCGGGACGATCGGCCGGACAATCGGGTCATGGCCGAGTCGGAACGGTCGTGGCCGGACGGATTCGTGGTCGGCCGCTGGTCGGACGGATGAAGTTGGCCGATGTTTCTCGGCCGGACGCGGGACGTGGCTTCCCGGCTCGGACGGGCATCGGCCGTGGTACGTGCGAGGTTGCGCGGCCGCGAGGCTTGCTTCCCGGCTCGCGCGGCATCGTCGTTCGTGGGCTGGCGTGGCCGACCGCGGGACATTGTTTCCCGGGTCGTGATGCGTATCGGCCGGATGGTTTGGAACTTTGGCCGAGATGGACGGACGGATTTGATTTGGCCGACGCGGAACATTCGTTCCTCGGCCAGCCGGCTGCGCGGTTGGCGCGTTCTCGATAGAGCCGTCTGGACAGTCTTCACTCTTTTGGTTATAACTCCTTTTCTACTCATCCAAATGAGGCCGTTCCAGTTGCGTTGGAAAGTTAACTCAATCAGAGCACGCAGGGAACTGGTCTTGATGAAATCCATTGAGTAGATCTTTTTCTGGGCCCTCTTAAAGTTGATGCTTGTGCATGGAGCGGCTTGAAGTGCAAATCCTATGGTTTTGCTCCAAAATGCATCATTTCACCTGTTTAGACTCTAGACACTATAAACACAGTAAAACTACCTTTTTAGATAGAAAACCTGCCAAAAACCATTAGAAAACAATACTAAAACAGTATAAAAAGTATGTAAAATAGAGTTATATCAAGAATTGCCTATGGACATACAAGCCAGGGGTAGTGGTCATGTAGCCTTAAGGATTGTCCAAAAGAGAGAGATTTCTAGATTAAGAACATAAGCAAGAAAGATTAAGCATAAAGATCCCCTAATCTAGCCCATCTTAAACCCTAAATGGAACTACTCGCTACACATGAATGAAAACTCAATCAAATGCAATGAAGAAGACATTAAAAGATAGAAGAGATAAAGATGAACAATTTTTATTGAAATAAGCAAGTGAAAATACAAAGCAAATAAACCAAGATCTAGGGTTCTATGAGCATGAAGCTCAAGAACACAAAGAGAGGTTTAGGGTTGCTAAAAAGTAAAAGACAATAATTAAAAGAAGACTAAAATTAAAGATAAGCTAAAGATTGTTGTCTTTTTCGTGGCTTAGAGCCTTTCAATATAAAGGAGATTAGGTTTAGGGTCAAAGGGGAGTCAAGGGGGAAGCAACATTTTTCGGGTTTGACTGTTGACTTCTCAGCTTGATCGAGTTGAAGCTAGGCCGGTCGAGTTAAGGAACTTCCTTGCTTCTCAACATCCTTTGTGTGTCTAGTTGAGCTACGTCCATGCACCAAGTCCTTCCTTGCTCCTCACGTCCCAAATGCTCCTCACGTTCCAAAAACTATGTAAAATGCAAGTACATCAAATGCCACAAAACTTCGTCCAAGAAGTGGAAGTTTTTGAAGTTTGGGGAATAGACTTCATGGATCATTTTCCTTCTTCTTATGGGAACAAGTACATTCTTGTTGCTGTTGACTATGTGTCTAAATGGGTAGAAGCCATAGCCAGCCCTAGAAACGACTCCAAGGTTGTAAAGTTATTCAACTCGATCATTGATGTACTTGCATTTTACATAGTTTTAGTACATCTTTTATGCATCTTTTGCATAGTTTTAGTATCCATTAGCATCATATCTTGTTCTTTTTCCCTTCTTGTGCATTCATAGTAGTTTTATGTTGCATGTGCATACATATGCATGTTTGGTCCTTTATTAGGTCTTTTGGAGCATTTTGGAGCATATGGGACGTGAGGAACATGGAGGGACTTGGCACATGGACGCAGCTCAACTGAATACGCAAAGGAAGAAGGAGGAAGTCATCTTAAAGACCAGCTCGACCACCTACTCGACCATCCGGGCGAGTTCCTCAGCCAAGCTTCAATTCGATCGAGCTGCAAAGTAAACAGTCAAACCCGAAATTTCTTGCTTCCCCCTTGACTTTCCTTTGACCCTAGATCTAGGATTCAAGAAGAGAGATTAACCAATCTAGGATTCAAGAAGCAAGAGCTTCAAGAACACAAAGATGGGATTAGATTCTAAAAAGTAAAGACAATAAAATTAAAAGAAGCTAAAACAAAAGTAATCTAAAGCTTGGTGGTTTTTTCGTGGCTTAGAGCCTTTAAATACAAGAGGATTAGGTTTAGGGTCAAAGGAAGTCAAGGGGGAAGCAACATTTTTCGGGTTTGACTTTGACTTCCAGCTCGATCGAGTTGAAGCTTGGCCGGTCGAGTGGACGGTCGAGCTGGTCTTCAAGATGGCTTCTCCCTTCTTCCTTTGCGTATCCAGTTGAGCTGCTTCCATGTGCCAAGTCCCTCCATGCTCCTTATGTCCCATATGCTCCAGAATGCTCCAAAAGACCTATTTCAAAGGACCAAACATGCATATGTATGCAAATGCAACCTAAAACTAACATGAATGCATAAGAAGAGAAAAGGAACAAGATATGATGCAAATAGCTAAAACTATGCATGCATAAAAGATGCTAAAACTATGTAAAATGCAAGTACATCAACACCCCCAAACTTGAACTTTGCTTGCCCTCAAGCAAACAAATAGAACAAGAAAGAGATGAGGTTTGAAAAAAGCTGATTCAACACTTAAAAACATGTCCTCAAAAGCGATTTGCTAAATGTCCAACTTAGAGATTCTAGAATGCAACAAGGTGAGAGATATTCATTAAGATTTAACCATGCTTATCAACATCAATCCCACTTCACAGTCACTCAAACAATGCATTCAAATCAGCAAATCCCTTTAACATTCATTAAGCAAAAACAGTGAACCAAAAACATGCAAGATCAATCAACTCATTTGGTTTCAAGGGTTTATGGGTTAAGAGACAAAGAGGGTCTCTTTTGTATGGTGGTTTAGTAACAGGGATCTCTCAAGAAAGTGGCTTTGCTTTGGCAGAAGGCTAAGTGTTAGAACCAAAGATGATGCAAGAACAGCAGCTCGAGCCGCCTAATCCTAACTCGATCGAGTTCAACACTTAGAGCTTTTTAGAACAAAATCCTAACTACCCTTTTTGGCATTTCGCCTTTGAAACTGAGGAGCTTTGCTCACTTTTCTTTTAAGAACTTCCTAGGGAGAGGCTTCTTGAGGTAACATCTAGCGGTTTGGGATTTTCTAAACACTTAGGGAACTTTTCTTTCCTTTTTGACACTTGAGGCTTTGCCTTCTTTTCATTCTACTTAGAACCCTTTTTACTTTCCTTTTTTAACTTCCCAAACCTTTACTAGACCCTTTTTAACACTGCCAACTCCCTGGACTTAACCAAACTCTTTTTCCTTTGGGTTTTTCCCAATTTTACCACTTTTCTGGTTTTTGACACCCAACTCGATCGAGCTCGAGTTGGCACCCCCAAACTTAGCCTGAAAACAATCCCAAGAGAACTAGACAACTAGAACTACTGCCCCTGCCGGTTTAAACACAACACCTTATGCTAAGCAAAGCCAAGAAAGGTTCTCACATTCGCACAAGAGATAATAAGGGGTTTGAAATGAAAAGGCTTAGGTTTAAGGTGTGGTAACTGTCTCAAAGATAGAGATCAGCTATCTGGACAAGCAAAGGGATATGAAAGTAAAGAATGTCCAGATATGTATGTGGTAGCCATGAGTTGAAATCAAATGCAAGCATTGGTAATTAAAGATCAAGTTATGGTTCAAATAGATAGGGAAATGCATCAAATCACAGCAATGGTTGAATGAGATGTGCATGCAGCGATATGATCAAGATAAACATGGTTCTTGCTGCTCAATCAATCTCACCCTAATGCACAAAAGAATCTAAAAACAGGGCACTCAAGAAATCGCAAAAGATGGACAAGTTTTCAAAGTCAAATCAACAATGCAAGTGAAAAATGCAATCCTAAACAAGTCTAACAAATATGAATGCAAAAAGATGAAAATATTTTTGGATTTTTTGAAAATTTTATGATTTTTTTGGTTTTTCTATGCAAAAGATAAATGAAAAACTAAGAACAAAGAAAACAAGGTTAAATCATCTCTTGAACCCTCCCCCAAACTTAAATCACACAGTCCCTTGTGTGAGAAAAATTTAGTGAAAGATTCAAGAGGGCAAAACCAAGAAAAAACAAGAACAAAGCAAGAAAATATGAAATGGTATATACAAGGGTTGGTGTTTGGATACCTCAGTGCCCCCCAAAGAACTGGGAGGCTAGGTCGTGGTCTGGAGATGGGAGACGGCCATCAGGAGCACTCCACTCGACTGGGTTCGGCTCACTCGATCGAGCTTGTGGCTCCTCTCCTCTTCTTCTTCATCTTCAAAGTGGGTGTGGCTTCCTTGGCCTTGGTGGAGTTGTGCTCGCTCGAAGCGGTTGTAGGGAGTCCAGCTCTGAGAGAAGTCCTGGTACTGGGTTGATCGTACTCGAATCCCAGGGTTCTCAAACAGGCTCCCAGGTCAACTCGACCGTCAGCTCGATCGAGTTGAGTTTCCTCTGTTTGGACTCGATCGAGTCCGGTGGTCGAGCTGGAGCGTCTGGCCTTAGAACTCTTCCTCCTTCTCTGCGTGTTGTCTCTCCTTCCCTTGGCTCGAAAGAAGAGGCTCTGTGAGGCTCTTGGGCAGGGAGCCTCTTTGGGTGGTGAGGAGTGACTACTCCTAGGGAATGTGGGGGCCTTGGACTTCTTCTTGCTTGAAGAACCAGAAACCTTCTTCTCCAAACTTTTGATCTTGCTCACCATCTTGTCCATGGACTTTTGCATCTTCTCAATGGCTTTCCCTTGCCATTTGTTGAACTTTTGGAGAAGTCCAATCCTCTTGTGGCAGCCACAACAGAGGGGTTCATCCTTGGAGCCTCATACTCCTCAAAGTAGTAGCACTCAGGCTCACCCAAGTCAGCGCTCCCTGGACCTGATATTCAGCTCGATCCTCAGCTCGACCCTCAGCTCGAGACTCAGCTCGATCGAGCTCAGGCTCCTCTTCTCGCAATCATCCTCATGCCCAACTAATGTGTACACAGGGGGTCTGAAGTCAATGTTCTCACCCCTTACAACTGTGGTGAGCTCTGGGTTAGGCAGGAGAAACTTGGAGGGTCCAACCAATGGATGTGTGAACTTGAATTGGAACCTCCCATCCAACTCCTTGTGCTCAATGAGGAGGTTGGTCTTGCAAAACTTGATGTCCATCCAACCTGGTTCAGTAGCTCTCCTATCAGTTGGGTTTACTCCAGCAGCACACAAGATAGGTGTGATGAGCCCTCCAATACTAAGCTTTCTTCCTCTTTGGTGCCTAGTGTTGTAAGCTGTGATCTTGTAGGTGAGGAGGTGGTCAAGGAAAGGCATCAAGTTCCCTGTGTCAGACCTATCTCCCCTTATCCTCTTGCCATCGCTTGTGCGTGAGAGAAGGGGCTTGATTCCCATGTCAAGAAACTTGAGTTCCCCCTCGTTGATTGTCCCGGTTGCCTTCCTTGCAAAGAAGGTGTTGGCAAGTGCCTTGTGCACATATCTCAAGACTGGGCTCCTGATCTGAGCTGCCTTGACCTTGAGGAAGAGTACACTCCATCAGCGATTGTAGCCCAAACCCTTTGGAGTTCCTTTTCCTTGAAGTTCCACTTGGTTCCCTCTCCATAGTTGAACCCAAACAAGATCTCCAGCTGCCTAAAGGTCACCATTCTCTTCTCTCCCTTAGCCAAGAACGTGATCCATCCCAATCCTTGGTCCAAATCAGCTCTATCTTCTCCTCATACATGTGGTACCTCATTGAAGCTAGAACTCGCAAGTGAGCTCCTTGTAGGATTCCATGTGGTAGAGAAGAGCTTGGCCAAGTGCATGTTCTTGAGGACCAACTCCACATCTTCAAAGATTCCAAGGGCCTTCATGGTGTCAACATGTGGGTACTTGGTGTCCATGAAGTCCATGGAGAAAGAGCATCATAGTGCTCTTGGTACATGGGGAGCTCATCCTCTTCTTCACTTGACTCCTCCTCTTCCATGGGCACATTCTCATTGCCCTCATGCTCACTCTCCTCAATCTCTTGATTGATCTCTTCACCCTCTTCTTCACTTGGGGAGTCATCATTCTCCTCATGTGGGATGTTCACCCCAATTTCAAACTCTCCTGCTTCGCTCTCACTGCTGAGAGGATCATTCCTTCTTTTGGTTCTCCTTTCTTCCCTCACCCTCTCAACCTCTTCCATGTCCTCCTTGGTTTGTGTTTTGAGTATCCTCCTTGCTCCTCTTATCATCTCCCTCCTTGTGAACGCTGCTTGCTTCCTTCACCTCTCAACATCTTAGATTGGTCCCTGAAATGCATCAAAAGTTCAATTTAGAGTTGTAATGATCGGTTTGGTCAACTCGACACTCAGCTCGATCGAGTCAAAAAACTCGAGTGACAAACTCGATCGAGTTGGTGAAAACAGAGTATAACCAAACCTAATTCATGTATTAAGAGCTGGAAAGGATGCTAATCAATCAAATTGAACCAAGAACAACTAGTAAATGGAACAATAAGCAATTCTAGTGAAAAACATAGCAACCTAACCATTACCAAACTCAAATTCAACCTTTCAATCACATGCAACAAGTTTAAAGGCAAAACAGAGGTGAGGTGAAGCAAAACTAACAAGTTACATGGCAGAGGCGAAATATGAAAGCAAATCTCAATAACAAGTCCACAAGGGACACATGCAATCAAAAATCAAGAGGAAACAAGCAATGGAGGAATCGAGATGAAGAATCAAGGGTTTCAGGGTTCATACCTTGCTTGGATGATGGATTGAAGAGCAGTAAACTAAGAACTAAGCAAAACAAGATGAAGAACAAATGAAATCGCAAAAACTTAAGAGAGAGGGATTGAAATCGATTTTTCTTGTGGTGAAGAGAGAGATGGATGATTCAGAAATTTAAGATTGTGGGAGAGAGAGAAGGTGGATTCGATCGAGTTATGGGGAAGAGAGTTGTTTGAGATGTGTGGTTGAGATTAAAAGATGGGATAAAGAGGGAACAAGAAACTAGGGATTCTCTGATCGAATTAGGGTAGTGGGGGACCAAAATCAGCTTGTGGGACCCACTCCCTTGACCAAAAAACGGTTATGAATTTGAAATTCAAAAACTTACCTTGGTCGAGTTGAGTAGCTCGATCGAGTTGCCCTGGTTTCTAGCTCGATCGAGTCGTGGGTCGAGCTGGCTCCTTAGACACCTAAACTTAACTTATTGAAAGGTTAAAAACATAAAGATAGATAGAAATTGCATAAATAGAGTATGTACAAGGATAAACATGGGACTTCCTCCCAAGTGAGCTTGTTTAAGGTCCCATAGCTTGACCTTTACCTTCTTAGGCATTGGTTGAGCTAGTCCCACCATCAAGGGTGATAGTGAGGACTTGAGACAGAAGCTCCTTTAGCTTGGTTGGGTCCCTGGACTGTTCTGAAGTCACCATGGCCTTGGCTCTAGAGAATGGCCTTGATCTCCCCTTGTACCTTATCTTGTACTCAATCTTCCCATTTTCAAACTTGGTGGGGAACAAAGTCATTGTGAGCTGAGATGGCTTGACTGAAGGGGCCTGAGCTGGTGGATCCTTTCTTTTATCTCCTGGTCTTGCCTTAGAGGCTGCATCCTCCCCTTCTTGTAGAGCCCTTCCTAGTGGCTCATCAAACAAAGCTTGAAGGCTCTCTTCATCAAGCACACAAGGGGCTTGAACAAGTCGCTCAGCTCTTGGCCTATCAGATCGTGGTTTCTCAACTCTAGCCCTCTCAAGACGTGGCTTCTCAATCCTTGGTCCTCTCTCATCCTTATCCTTCCCAACTCTTGGTTCCTTGTCAACCCTTTCCTTCACAACCTTTGTAGCTCCATGACTCTTAGAACTGAGATTGGTACTGTCAATTGTGGCACAAAAGTCTGAACCTCTAGGCTGCAAGCGATATGACACCAAACTATTCACCTTGTGAAGGATCACTTCTTGCTTGTGAAAGTCAATTGAAGCGCCAACTGTACTAAGGAAAGGGGTTCCCAATAAAAGGCAAATCCTTCTCTTCTTCCATTTCCATCACAGTGAGATCAGTTTGGATGATGCATTCTCCAATTTTCAAGTGATAGTTCTTGAACACTCCAAGAGGAGACTTAGTAGTTGCATCTCCAAAGATGATTGAAGTAGTAGGGCGCTGCAAGGCTCCAGCTATGCCTAGCTTCTCTGCCATGGAGAGAGAGATCAGATTGATGCTTGCTCCAGAATCCACTAAGGCATTGTCAATCTCAAGATGCCCAAGTGTGCAAGGGAGAGTGAATTTCCCTTGATCCTTGACCTTTGGTAGGAAGGTGGGTGAAGTAAGCAGGTTGAACTGATGAGTAGACTCTTGTAGGACCTCTGAAACTTTATCACTGTTGGCCAGAACATCCTTGACCATTTGCATTTGATCAAATGCCTCACTCATGCTATCCATAGAGGCAACTCAATTCCAATCCCACTGAGATCTCTTCTGAACTTGTGAATCACTTCCTTGTGACCTTGACTAAGTAGGCGAGACGAGGAAGCGGCAACTGGTTGATAGGATCAAGCAAAACAGGCTGTCGGACAGAAGAGGTCGGACTCGATCGAGCTGCCGATCGAGCTTGTCGTGCGAGCTCAACTGGTGAAGTGTGAATGGCCACAGTAGGTGCATGCACTTCTGGTTGATCAATCTGGACTCCAGGAGCCTCAGCAGCAACAATCTCTTCATCATTCAGCAGTAAACAAAAATCTTCAATGACCCTTTCTTGATCCTCTTCTTCAACAAGTCCTTCTTGAGTGAAGATGACCTTGCACTGTTCCTTGGGGTTCTGAATAGCTTTACCAGGTAGTTGTCCTTGCTTTGTAGCAGCAGCAACAGAAGAAGCATGATTCTCCAGAGAGTAAACCCTTGTGTTGAGGTTCTCGATCTTAGAGTTTATTTCAGCTAGCTTCTTGCTTGTGTCCACTACCCCATCAGCTTGCCCTTGAAGTAGTTGCTTTAGCATTGCTGAGGGCAGGCTGGGGTGGTGGGGGAAGCCTGGTGGGATATTCATTTGTTGTCCAGGGAAAGTGCCTTGTGGTCCTTGGTAATTGTTCTTTTGACCATACCCTTGTTGTGTCCTTGACTCGATCGAGCTGCTTGTTGTTGAGGATAGACTTGGTCCTGAGGGTTAGCAACATCAGTGTTGCGGTATGACATAGCAGGGTTGGACTTGTAGTTATAGTATCCTTTGTTGTAACCTCCTTGCCCATTGCTCATGTAGCATACCTCAGCAAATTGTGTATCCTCCCCTTCTTGGACTGGTTCCATCTCCTCAGCAGACACAAAGTTGACTTTCTTCATTGTGGACTGAGCTAGGATCAGCTTATCCAACTTCTCATTCAATGCCTTAACATCTTTTCTCAACTTTTCGTCTGACTCGATCGAGTGGTGGGTCGAGCTCCGGTTGGTGCGATCATACTCTTCTCCATAGCTTCCATTTGAGTTAGCTATGTTCTCCACAAGTTGCCAGCCATCATCTACATCCTGGTTGAGGAAGTTCCCATTGCTAGCTGTGTCTAGCATCTCCCTATACCTAGGCAAGCATCCTCTATAAAGAGTGGAGAGTAGTGATTCATTGTTGAATCCATGGTGTGGGCACTGACTTGTGTAGCCCTTTGAACCTCTCCCAAGCCTCTGCGAATGTCTCATTGTTTCGCTGGATGAAGCTGGATATCTCTCCTCTAAGCTTGGCTGTGCGACCGGTGGAGAAAAACTTTAGCAAGAAAGGCCTTCTTGCATTCATCCCAAGTGGTGATTGTGCCATGGGGCAAGCTCTTCTCCCATTGGTGAGCTTTGTCAGCTAGAGACATAGGAAAGAGTCTCAGCTTGATGGCATCTTCAGAGACACCATTGATCTTTGTCAAATCACAAAGCCTATCAAACTCATCAAGGTGGTCAATGGGGTCTTCACTTGGCAATCCATGGAACATCTTGTTCTGGACAAGGTTGATCATTCCCAGCTTGATCTCAAAGTTGTGGTTCTGCACTGGTGGTGGAACAATCCCTTGTCTCTGTTGGTGGCGGTTTGGAGCATCTCCTTGACCAATCGGTCGAGTTTGCCTAGCTCGACCGAGTCCATTGCCCAAAGGGTTTCCATTCCCCTCTGGTACATCCATTGTATCAGCAACAAGCACCTCAGGTTCCTCTTGTACCCTCTGTGACCTCTGAACCCTCTTTCTACCCGTTGTAAGTCTAGCTCGACCAAGTCTTCAGTAGACCGACTCGATCGAGTTCGCATACACCTGCAAAAAGAGACAAAAACCCAGCAGTACAATAGAACAGGGGTGGTATAGCTTGATCGTCCAAGTGTGTTTGAAACTCAAATGCAACAAAAATATCCCAAATCGGCAACGGCGCCAAATTGATGATAGGATTTGTGTGTGGATGTGAAAAGATATGAAATGAGATGAGTGGAATGCAATCAGTGGTATATGATGAGTGGTAAGATGCAAACACAAACACAGTCAACAATTCCCTTTAACCATCATAGTCATTGAAGTATAAGAGGTTATCAATCCAAAATGGGAAACTTGTCACTCTATGAGAATATGAAACAACCAGAAAGTCAAGCAAGCAGTTATAGATTTGAAGTAACACTAACAACCTAAGAAATGAAAATGCAGTGCAATAAAAGTAAACAAAGCAGTAAACAAGTAGCTCGACCAAGGACTCGAGTCGAGTTGGGACAGAGTACCAGCTCGATCGAGTTTAGGGTCGAGTTGAGACAAAAGCAGTAAAGGTGACGACTTTAACAAGATAAAGAGAGAATTAGGGTTCAAGACAGGGTTTTGCAATCAAAGGAATCTACACTTAATCAATCTAGCTCTTAAAACTCCTTGTATCAAGGCTTCTCTTGATATTGGGCTTCTCAATGCCTAGCCAACCCTTTCCCAAGGTGGAGGCTATCAACCAAGGAATGATCTCAGAAACAGGGGGTTAGCCAGTGAGAATCAAACCTTGGAGGCCATAGGATCATTGCCCAAACTAATCCATCCAACCCCTTAGACCTCTATTGTCTAGAGCAAGAGATATTGGAGCTCTTAGTGGATCTTTTCCAGCGAATGCCATCACTTCCGTGTGGGGATCGCCTAAGGACTTACAAGCCAGGGGTAGTGGTCATGTAGCCTTAAGATCTATCCAAAAGAGAGAGAATCTAGATTAAGACCATAAGCTAGAAGGATTAAGCATATGAAACCTCTAATCTATCCCATCTCAAACCCTAATGGGTAACTACTCACTACACATGAATGTAAACACAAGCAAATGCAATAAAAGAGACATCATAAGAAAGAGGAGATGAAATTAAACAACTTTTATTGAAATAAGCAAGTGCAAATACAAAGCAATAATTATCCAGGATCTAAGATTCAAGAAGCAAGAGCTTCAAGAACACAAAGATGGGATTAGTCTCTAAAAAGTAAAAGACAATAAAATTAAAAAAGCTAAAACAAAGTAATCTAAAGCTTGGTGGTTTTTTCGTGGCTTAGAGCCTTTAAATACAAGAGGATTAGGTTTAGGGTCAAAGGAAGTCAAGGGGGAAGCAACATTTTTCGGGTTTGACTTTGACTTCCCCAGCTCGATCGAGTTGAAGCTTGGCCGGTCGAGTTGAGGAACTCGACCGGTTGGTCGAGTGGACGGTCGAGCTGGTCTTCAAGATGGCTTCTCCCTTCTTCCTTTGCGTATCCAGTTGAGCTGCTTCCATGTGCCAAGTCCCTCCATGCTCCTTCATGTCCCATATGCTCCAGAATGCTCCAAAAGACCTATTTCAAAGGACCAAACATGCATATGTATGCAAATGCAACCTAAAACTAACATGAATGCATAAGAAGAGAAAAGGAACAAGATATGATGCAAATGGAAGCTAAAACTATGCAAAAGATGCATAAAAGATGTGCTAAAACTATGTAAAATGCAAGTACATCACACATTCATATCTGGACTTCTTTACCTATTTTCATATCCCTTTGCTTGTCCAGATAGCTGATCTCTATCTTTGAGACAGTTACCACACCTTAAACCTAAGCCTTTTCATTTCAAACCCCATATTATCTCTTGTGCGAATGTGAGAACCTTTCTTGGCTTTGCTTAGCATAAGGTGTTGTGTTTAAACCGGCAGGGGCAGTAGTTCTAGTTGTCTAGTTCTCTTGGGATTGTTTTCAGGCTAAGTTTGGGGGTGCCAACTCGAGCTCGATCGAGTTGGGTGTAAAAACCAGAAAAGTGGTAAAAGTTGGGAAAATCCAAAGGAAAAGAGTTTAGTTAAGTCCAGGGAGTTGGCAGTGTTAAAAAGGGTCTAGTAAAGGTTTGGGAAGTTAAAAAAGGAAGTAAAAAGGGTTCTAAGTAAATGAAAAGAAGGCAAAGCCTCAAGTGTCAAAAAAGAAAAGAAAAGTTCCCTAAGTGTTTAGAAAATCCCAAACCGCTAGATGTTACCTCAAGAAGCCTCTCCCTAGGAAGTTCTTAAAAGAAAAGTGAGCAAAGCTCCTCAGTTTCAAAGGCGAAATGCCAAAAAGGGTAGTTAGGATTTTGTTCTAAAAAGCTCTAAGTGTTGAACTCGATCGAGTTAGGATTAGGCGGCTCGAGCTGCTGTTCTTGCATCATCTTTGGTTCTAACACTTAGCCTTCTGCCAAAGCAAAGCCACTTTCTTGAGAGATCCCTGTTACTAAACCACCATACAAAAGAGACCCTCTTTGTCTCTTAACCCATAAACCCTTGAAACCAAATGAGTTGATTGATCTTGCATGTTTTTGGTTCACTGTTTTTGCTTAATGAATGTTAAAGGGATTTGCTGATTTGAATGCATTGTTTGAGTGACTGTGAAGTGGGATTGATGTTGATAAGCATGGTTAAATCTTAAATGAATATCTCTCACCTTGTTGCATTCTAGAATCTCTAAGTTGGACATTTAGCAAATCGCTTTTGAGGACATGTTTTTAATGTTGAATCAACTTGTTTTCAAACCTCATCTCTTTCTTGTTCTATTTGTTTGCTTGAGGGCAAGCAAAGTCAAGTTTGGGGGTGTTGATGTACTTGCATTTTACATAGTTTTAGTACATCTTTTATGCATCTTTTGCATAGTTTTAGCATCCATTAGCATCATATCTTGTTCCTTTTCTCTTCTTATGCATTCATGTAGTTTTAGGTTGCATTTGCATACATATGCATGTTTGGTCCTTTGAAATAGGTCTTTTGGAGCATTTGGAGCATATGGGACGTGAGGAGCAAGGAAGGACTTGGTGCATGGACGCAGCTCAACTGGATACGCAAAGGAAGAAGGAGGAAGCCATCTTGAAGACCAGCTCGACCACCTACTCAACCGGGCCAAGCTTCAACTCGATCGAGCTGAGAAGTCAAAGTCAAACCCGAAAAATGTTGCTTCCCCCTTGACTTCCTTTGACCCTAAACCTAATCCTCTTGTATTTAAAGGCTCTTAGCCACGAAAAAACCAAAATCTTTAGATTATTTTTGTTTTAGCTTTTTTTAATTGTATTTTACTTTTTGCAAAACCCTAGCCTCTCTTTGTGTTCTTGAGCTCTTGCTCTTGAATCCTTAGATCTTGGCTCTATCTTCTGTATTTGCACTTGCTTATTTCAATAAAAGTTGTTTATTTTCTCCTCTTTCATATGATGTCTTTTCATTGCATTTGCTTGTGTTTACATTCATGTGTAGTGAGTAGTTTCCTTAGGGTTTGAGATGGGATAGATTAGGGGATTTTATGCTTAATCCTTCTTGCTTATGGTCTTAATCTAGATCTCTCTCTTTTGGACAAACCTTAAGGCTACATGACCACTACCCCTGGCTTGTATGTCCTTAGGCGATTCTCCACATGGAAGTGATGGAAATCGCTGGAAAAGGTCCACTAAGAGCTCCAATAACTCTTGCTCTCGAAATGGAGTTCATAGGGGTTGGATGGATTAGTTTGAGGCAATGATCCTATGCCTCCAAGGCTTGATTCTCACTGGCTAACCCCCTGTTTCTGAGATCATTCCTTGGTTGATAGCTTTCACCTTGGGAAAGGGTTAGCTAGGCATTGAGAAGCTCAATATCAAGAGATACCTTGATACAAGTTGTTTGAGAGCAAGATTGATTAAGTATAGTTCCTCTGATTGTAAGACCCTGTCTTAGACCCTAATATTCGCATTAGCTTGTTAAAGTTCCTGCCTTTATCGCTTTTTACTTA